GGTAGTCAGCTCAACCTCGTTCTGCAGTCCATTCCCAAATCTACGTCCAGTGTTGAACAAGACGGTCCTCTTTCTTTCTATCAGAATCAAAGCCTTTAAATCCTGTTGACCCTTGGCTAAGCTCATAACCAACTCCTGGAACTGGGCATTCTGGGCCTGGAGGGCCTTGATAGCTTGTTCAGTGGAAGGTTCAGTAGACATGATGATTGCTGAAATAAACAACGAAGAAGATAAGTGACATGTAAAAGGGTACTTGTAATGCAATGATATGTATGATATATGTATGCAATGTTTTCAAGGATCTCGCGGGGTAAACAAAGAAACTTGTTAAAATTTGAGTCTGGTAGCTTGATTGAAGGAACTTTATGTTGCTGAGAGTCCTTCTTCAAGAGTCAAAGCTCACCATATCGAGTGGGTCATAGCCCCTGACTCAAGTCATCATGTTTTGATCTCCAAACAACCTTGGCTAGAGGAAAATAAATCCCCTTTGCCCCTTGCTAGACATTTGGTTCATCATGACCTGCATCACAAACCCTTGAGATCCTTGAAATGGGTTAGTCCTTATGCAAGATGTATGCAATGTTATGATGTTTATGATGTTATGATAAAGGCACACCACAAGTATTCACAAAAGGCAAACATGGCAAAGGCACCCAAGTCACACAACAGAGCCCTTAGATTTCCGGCTGGCATGAAGTTTAGGTACTACCCTCTTTCAGTTTCAGTTGGTTAAGACTTGTCCTAAAAATAGTAACCGGGTTCTAGAGGATCTCAATATCACTGACTACCCTCAATCGGTCATAACTCCAGCTTAGCAACCTTTTCTTGTGGCCAAAACCATCGCGAGAGTTTAGCCTCAATGAGTGTAGCATACTGCTACTGTTCTATGGCCAAGTTGGTAAATTTAAGGTTCTAAGGTCAGTTGGTGCTTAATGACTCCTCAGAAGACCCATATTCTCCTCGTTCCAATACAAGGGATATCGGTACAGACCAAGGTGTCACACCAACGTAGCTACTGCTTCACCCGTGTCGGTCTACGCCGGACAGGTCCCTCACAGTTTATTGCTACTTACCTAAAAAAGGGTACCCCAGATCCGGGTTAGGATCTATGAAACTCTGATACAAGCCCACAAAATTTAAAGCATACAGAGCAATGCAATTGAAAACATGGTGATCTAATCCTAAGGTATACCTCACTTATTAAGTCCCCAGCAGAGTCGCCAGTTCTGTGATCGGTGGAAATAGAACTGACTGTTTTGAAATGCTGGTTCGCGAAATGTCGCGGTAAGCAAGAGTCGCCATCGTCTTTTATTTTCTCCAACAAGGAAAGGACAAAAGCACATAAAAATTCCTTTTCGAGATGTTTCTCGGTTCGGGAGGTAGATTATAGAAAGGGAAGGTGTTAGCACCCTTTCTATCTATGGTTATCCACGGGCTCTTAGGTACTTGCTCACTATGTTTTCGAAAGAGTTTGCTTTTCTTGTGTTTGTGGGTTTTGAAAAAGTTTGTTTTGAAAACTTCTCTTTAACTCTTGTATCAGTCCTCAAGAGTGTATGAAGTGTTTGTTTGAAAACTTTTGTCAGAAAAGTGTAAGTGCGAAAAGTATTTTTGTTTTGAAAGAGCAAGTACCTGAGAACCTCTACCTACTTAAAAGAAATTAAGCTGTGTAAATATCCTTTAGACAGTACTATCCCACTATTGAGAAGTAGGTAGCACCGTCGTTGGAGTTATTCGGGTCAAATCGATTATATGGGACATGTGGTCACCAAAGCAATAGTAGGACGCCTTAGCGGTAACCCTAATGTCTTAGATCTTTTTTTATCCGAGGCAACCGTTCCGAGGCAACTTGGATCTTTAGACAGGAGGGCGACCTCTAAAGCACCCTATACTCAATTACCACATCGAGGCAACCAAGTGAGGCGTACCCTAGGAGTGACATGTGCGAGTGTGTCAGGATTCAGTTAAATTATCTTTGCACATGTTATGGTGAGCTACGGATTGATTTTAATTTTAGAGATAAGTCTTGTCATGCATAGCCTAGTTAACATACATCTAACAGTTAAATATTGCGGAAAATAAATCTACGCTATTACAAGGCGTCGGGTATTTACATCGCCAAAAACAAACCCTTGAAAAGTAAATTGCGGGAAATTAAAGAAAAGCAATAAAAGGTCCTAATTAAAGCTATTACATCCTCTGAGCAATTACATAATATGGATAAAAATAATATGCGCGAAAGAAATTGAATCGGAGAAGTCCTTAGGGTTTTGACCCTTTTTGAGAAAGAAAGAAGTTTTTTGTTATTTTGCATTTAACTAAATTAAACCTAAAACTAATTAATTAATAAAAAGAAATATTTTTGGGTTTTTTGTTTACTTGCATATATATAGAGGAATGGAATTAGGTCAAAATCTTGAGCAAGAATCCATTGCAATGATGATTTGATCTTTGATTGAAAATCAAATCTTTTTGCATTTTCATGATTGAACAAAGTTGCCAATTTTGGAGATTTTGTATCTTTGACTTGGTGCACGAAATTGCCAGCCTTTTTAGGTCATATTTGTTTCACCAAAAGATTGAAAAACCAAATCTTGTATTTTCCTACAATTTAAATTGATTAAATGAATTAATATCAATTAAAAATCCAATTAATTAATAAAAATAAGAAAATAAATTCAATTAATCTTGATGGGTCGTGCATAGGCCATGGATGAAGTTTCAAGAAGAGATTTGAGGCCCATTAGCAAAAATGAGGTGTTTTGAGCAAAGTTGACTTTTGCAAATTCATGAAAATTTCCCAACTTCTCCAATGCACAACTTGCTCAATTTTGATCATATGACCGTGTTCTTGGACATTTTTGGAAAGATCTTGAAGTCCTCTAACCAATGCCTTTGGTCTCATGTCATTTGGATTTACCAATCTCAAGTTATGGCCTTTGACTTAAAGTGTACTTTTGTTGACTTTTGAAATTGACCTATAATGTAGAAGTTGATAACTTTTTATGAGAGCATTTCTTGGACTTGGAGTGTGAAGATGGATTGTAGTAAATTGCATCCCCTTTAAAATGAGCATTGGATGGGATTTTTCTGACAAACCATGAAAAAGTTATGCCCTGGTCAAGATACAGTTGACTTTTCTACTGTCCAAAAATAATAACGTCTTGCATCTTGATGATTTTTGAGCTATCCTTGTGGAATCATGATCAAGACTTGATCAAATGATGATTGTGAACTCAAAATAAGATGTTGACCAAAAATTTTGACTTTTGACTGTGAAATGACCATTTTGCCCTTGTAGTTGACTGTGGATCAAATGGAGATTTTGACTGCAAATTGGCACTGTGAGTCTTGAGACTTGACATGTAGGTGCTTGAGGATGTATATAGGCCCTTGAGACTTGATTGAAGTATTGAAAACCTCAAATTTCTTGAAAGAACCAAAACCCTAATTTTAGCTGGCTTAGGAAGTGGTTTGACTGTCTACCTCTTGAGTAATCTTGAGCCATTTGAGAATTATTCTTGTCAAATCTTGAGGAATATGGGAGGGAAAATTTTGGGGTACAACAACGTGCAAGAGGAGTTCCATCCAATTCATATTCTAAAGTTTATGTTATTCGTGTTGATTGATTCCTAATCAGCATTGTATTCATGCATTCTCATTCATCTTGAGCATTGAAAATATTTTCGCATCCACATAAAGCTCATTTGCATTAAAATCTCTTTAACATCTTCATCAAAATAAGTTCAACCATTTTTGCATTCACACATATCATTAAAATGATTTTTCATATATGCTGAGAAACATTTTTATTTTAAGTGAATCAAAATTTGAAAAGTCTCAAAATTCTCAATTGTTAAAAACATTTTCACTCTATGATTTGAATAAAAAGTTTACAACTAAACATGTGATTCAAATCATACATCTGAGAACAGAGGTTGATCTATTTGATTTGAATCATTTTCTGAACATGATTCAAATCAAATATGTTTTCAATTAAAAATAAAATGCATAATTCAAATCAATTTTAACACATGATTTGAATCATGAACTGAAGGGTCATGCAAAATACCCATTTCAATTCATTGTTTTTTCCAATTCATTTCTTCTCTCTTTTCTTTTGCAAACCCCTTTGAGTAATATATAAAAATTTGCATCAAACATCATTTTTGCCATTCATCTGTCACCTACATCATCATCATCATGGCATATGAACTTGGGTACAAAGGAAGGTTTGAGAAACAAAACAAAGGAAAGATACATGCCTCTACTTCAAATTCTTCCCCTGATGCTGACATCTCATCTCCTCCACCGGTTCCAAAGAAAGCACGAACCAAGGTGCAAGGAAGCAAACTCACTTCAGATGCCAGAATTCCAAAGAAGTCTTGTAAGCATGCTTTTAAGAAATCAGTTGTTTCTGATTTGTGTCATAAGGTTAGTCATTTGCTACCTGAAGATAGATTGAAAGAGTATCATGATAATTTTCTGAACAAGTCAATTGAACCTGAATATCATGTTGATGAGTCTTGTGAGTTGGTTTTGAAAGCGGGATTTTTGAAACCCTTTGTTGATAATGGTCTGCTGAGTTTTATTGGATTAAACAAGAAATTTAATCGAGATCATGTTAAAGCCTTCTGTTGTAATCTTGTGCAAACTTCTACTAGAATTGAAAGCAAGTATAAGAATAAGTTGATTAAGTTCGATTGCAATGACTTTACTAAGCATTTTGGCATGAAAACTTTTGATAATTTTGTGTTTGGTGCTAAGATGAGCGAGTTCAACAAATTCAGTTTGTGTTGAATATCTCTAAGCCTGTTTGTGAGAAGCTCTATATGGAAAAATTTCCAATTAGCCAAGTAAAGTTCAACATGAGAATTCTAAATTGGATGATTATGAAAGTGTTCTACAGGAACCCCAAGAATTGGGGAAGAGCATATTATTTGGATTTTTATCTGATGTAGAGACTTCTCAACAATTCTAATTTTGATTGGACTGATTTCATCATGGATATGATGATCATTTTTAGGGATAATAAAAAGAGACCTTTATTTTATTCTTCCTTTGTGCATATGATATTGGAAATCAATGGAGTTGTGTCCAAGGAAGAAGACTTGGTAGGTGCTTCGTTGATTATGGACGAGTATGTGGTCTCCAAAATGAGATATTATAGGGATACTACTGGTATGTATTATTATTTGGAGAAATATGGCAGGAAAAGTTATGATGACCAAATTGTTGAGCCTAAAAAGGATTCTAATGATGAGGCAGGTGATCCTTCAAACATTGGTACTACTTCTTATGCATATGTTAATGTGAAGACGCTTCTTGATGTCATGCCCCAGAAGTTGTTGGTTGACATTTCAATTAGGGAGGATAGGATCATGGCATGCATTGATGCAATGGCTCATGGTAGTGAGGACAATAAGTCCAGGATGAGGGAAAATTTGAGGGCTGAGGTAAAATATGAGATTCTAGTTGTTGAGGGTCGTATGATAACTCAAATTGAAGCATTGAAGACCTCTGTTGATTACCTTGGTGGTAATAATTTCATTTTCCATCATTCATTTGTTGATGCTACAACAAATGTTAGTACTCTGGTTCCGAGTGGCACCGATGTTGCACCACATCCTCTTTCATTTTAACCATCCGATGTTTTTCCTACTGATCTACCTTAATTTCTTTCATATCATGCATTACATGACATTTAGAATTTTTTGTTTTAATCATGTCACTTTGGATTGACTCATTATTTTGTGATCTTTTGATCTTATTTTGGCTATTGTACCATGTGAATACTCTTGTTTTAATTCACGTATAATTGGTATTTATGTTATTAACTCTATTGTTATATTTATCTTGATATATCTTCCAGATTGCATATTTGAGTTAATTCTCACATGTAGTTTGTATGGTGTGTGTTCTTATGATTCACTTAAGAATTGATATTTCATATTATGGATTTTGTGTTGTCTTGGTTTCAAGTTTGCGTTTATCCTTTTCTCTCCTTTTTGATATTTGACAAAGGGGGAGAAGTGGTCGAGATATTGTCAATATTTATGCACATCAAGTGTTTAATGCAGGGGATTTTCACACCTTATACAACTCAAAAGAAGTAGTGTACGCTAAGTTACTAGATTCCTTATGATCAATCAAATCCAAAATACTCTGGTTATTTCATCAACAATAATCTCACATGTTTTACAAACATCAAAAAGGGAGAGAATAAAAGCACAAAGTATATTATGGTGTCTTTTATGTGCTTTGATTATATTTGTGTTTTGATGTTTTTGTCAATTCGATTATTGATTGATAAGTTTGGCGTATTTGTAATTTTAATAATATCTTATTTTTGTTCTTGTACGCTTTTATCATTTGAATATGTTTGTAATCGCTTACGATATTATTATTATATTGTACCACTAAGAGCCCTCTATATTTCAATAATATATTCACTTAGCCCTTAATTGATATTTCCTTTTTGAGCCCATGAAATTTCTATTTTGTAATTTCCATAGGAGTAGCTTGAATCACAAGTTAGAACTTTTAAATTTTTATGTTTTGTATTTGATTCAAATCATGTATAGTTTTTTATTCGAATCACACATCTTTGAAAATTGGAAAAAGTTTATGGACAAAATGATTAAAATCATAGCCTTATTTATTTCAAAATATGTGGTATTCTTGATTCGGATCATGAACTTTGAAAAATGCCCCTTTATGGTCTGCCTAGATTGATTTGAATCATATTTCCTTCTTGATTTAAATCATGTGTTAAATATCAAATTTTCCATCTTTTATTTAAATAATTGTTTCTTTTTAAGAAAGTAACTAGTGGAAAACCTATGGCAATACCCATAGAGACAAAATGTGATTTAGTTTTCTATTCTTTGTGTGTCCATCCATATCATAATGATTCTTTCTATTAATCTCCACTACAATTTATTTATCATGAATTTATGATTGAATTCATCATTTTTGTTGCATCTTATTCTTGTGCAATTTGTTGTTGTGTTTGACTGAATTAGATATGGGGAGTTGATTAATCTTTTGTGTGTTCATGATTAATAAATTTCTTGATAAAAATCAAACCCAAGACCTATTTATCTAGAAACTTGAGAAATCATTATGTGTGTGTTCTTCATCCACCCTTATCTAAAACACTTGACTAACACCTTGTGTTTGTAGATTGTTGTGAGATATTCTGGGCATGTTCATCATACTTCTTCCTTAGTCTTGTTCATATGTTGAGTACCTTCATCTCTAAAGATTAAGCTTTGAGGGATACTAGTGGCACGTTAGGGTTACAAATGCTTTTGTGTGAAGTTTGTTATTTGTAAAAGGTATAGGTATCATTTCTTGTATGCAGTTTAATGTTTTTTGTTATTCACCAAGAATAGAGTTTCCATTATACTCCAAGGAATACTTTGGCGAGATAAAGTATCAATTATCCATAAGGCAGGGATGGAAGTTATCCATCTTTAGTGGCGTTGGAGAAATATTTCTCGTAGACAAAGTTGGGAGTTATCCATTAACGCTTGGCTATGATAACTGCTCAGACAAGAGACTGGTGGAATCAGGTGGATTTCCACATACAAATACTTGGAGCAGAATTATTGAGTGCAACAAGGTTATTGGATCAAGATCCTTTAGTGATCTCGACTTTTGTTAGCAGTTTTTGTGTCTTTATCAACAGAGAGAATTTCTGTATGATAGTTCGTTGTAATCAAAATGTTGTAATTAAATTTATCAAAATATGGAAGATCATGATTATTTTCAATGGTTTTAACACTATTGAAGAGTGGAGTGGGAAATGCAAGGACAAAAGTCGAACCACTATATATTGTTGTTTATCTTTTCTTATTACCTTACCTTTTTTACTTTTCTTGTATTGATTATTATGCTATTGCATTGTTGCATTTTTGCATTGATTGTATGCCACATAAGTTAGACGTTTCTTATAGCAATTTAATGTATAATCTTAGGTCTGTGGTATATCAATCTTATTGAATTATAATGACTTCAATTGTGTCTTGTTAGAATTCATGAGCTATATGTTTTGGAATAACTTTGTTGAAAATCTACTTGATTAGTCTTGTGATTGACTTGCATTAGAAGCAATCAAATGCATATATAACATCATGTACCATTTCATATAGATTGATTCATTGAGATTCTTCCAAGCTCTCTTGTTTTGTGTTTTGCTTCCATGCCGCTTAAAATATATGATTTCATACATGGGACCAAAAATTGTTTTTGAAAATGTCTAATTGGGAAAGGGTATATTCGACCCCCTCCCTTCTAGACCTATGATTGTCCATATTCTTACCCCCACACTAACCATGATTGATATGTATTATGTTTTAGGTATACTTCAAATAATGTAGTTACTATAGTGATGTCATTCAAGATGAAAAGGATATTTGGTTTGAAACATTTAAATTAAGACATGTAACATTTTTGTTCTAATATTGTGATTGTTTATAAAGATATAATGGTGAATATAAGTGTTATACGATGGGAGAACTGACTTGTTTTGCATTTTATCGTAAATGTTGCAGATAGCAAGAGTCGCCACTAACTTTTCTTTTATCCAATAAGGAAAGGGTGAAAAGAATAGGAAAGACCTTGAAGATTTTGAGTTCGGGGAGTAGGTTATGAAAAGGGAAGGTGTTAGCACACTTTTCATCCTTAGTTATCTACGGGCTCTTAATCGCTAGCTCATTTTTGAAATTTGCTTTGTGTGTGTGATTTGAAAATATCTTTGAAGAGCCAATGAAAGGAGAACTTTATAATGATTCTTGTATCGGTCCTCAAGAATGCATACAAAGTGTTTTGAAAATATTCGTTGTTTTGAAAGTGATGTGTGAAAAGTATTCGTGAGAAAAATTTATGAGTAAGCGATTAAAAGTATCCTACCCACTCAAGGTCCTTCTTGTTATTTTCCTCCTCCTTTAGAGATAGTGTTATTGGTACCATTAGTTGGTAGGTAGCCCCATCTATTGGGTGTGAAGGGACAACAAAGGGTCATCGCACGGTCATCAAAGGCAACTTATAAGGATGCTTTAGCAGTTTCGTAAGGGACTAGATCATGTTATTCATTGGCAACATTGAAGGATCGTCGAGGGACTATGATCTTTTATTCAGAGGGACTTTGCTAAAGCATCCCTACGTTCGAGGGACGTGACCGTTAATCATAAGGCAACAAGAGAGGTTACCCTAAAGGTGTGAATATGCAAGTGTGTTTGATTCAGTTATTTATTCTTGCAATTAGGTTTTCTAGCGTTTGGTTTTATCTTTCCATACACACCCTAATTACTAACAATAATATAGAAAATATAGTAGCAGGAGATAAAGGCGGGAATATAAACCTAGGCTATTACAGAGCTTTGGGGAAGTTACATTATAGTGAAGTGCGGAAAATAAAAACCTAAAACTATTACATACTAGGAGCAGTTACATAATAGAACAATACGGAAAAAATAAAGCTATGCTATTATAGTTGAACGCACCTTATACACTTTATCTAGGAAAAATAAAAATAAGATAAAAATAGCAAAGAAAATTTTTTGTTGATTTTTTATGAAAAAAATGATTTATGATAATTAATTAATAAAACGTAAAAATCCAATTAATTTTAATTAATAAAAAAAAGGTTAGTTAAAAACCTAAAATCTAATTAATTTTAATTAAAAAAAAGGTTAATTTTGAAAAAAAAAGTTTAAAAAAACCTAAAACCTAATTAAAATATAAAAAAAGGCTAATTTTGAAGAAAAATAAAAGGTTAATTAAAAAAACTTAAAACCTAATTAATTTTAATTAATTAAAAAAAGTTTTATGTTTAATGATAAATAAATAAAATTAAGTTTGTCAAAAAATAGATAGGGGAAGAAGCATCAATGGAAAATAGGGTTAGAAAATAAAAATAGTACAAATGCTAGGTGTGGGTGTTGAGCCCACGCCTTTTGCATTCACAACAGCATGGCTTGCCAAAAATAGACAGGGGAAGAAGCATCAATGGAAAATAAGGTTTATTCTGCATAGTTATACCTCAGAAGCATGTTAGTAATGTTAGTATGCATCAAAACAACATGAAAACAAAAAATATGAATTACAAAAAAAAACTAGGAAACTGGAGATGAATGTATGTGATTTTCAGGCGCTTTGGATCATCAAGATTGATCCATTATTACCCTACAATGCCTTAGGGATTGATTTAGATGATTGACTTGCTTGGAGAGATGCTGAAATAGGGTTTGAAGTTTTCCCTAGTTTTATATAATTTTAGAGTTTTTTGGAATAGTGAGGAAAATTAGGTCAAAAGAAGTGGATTTGAACCTTTGTATGAAAGCCTTGATTTTATTTAATTTATTTTGAATTTAAATAAATAAAATCAAAAATAAATGGAATAAAATTCAAAGGGGTGTATGAATAGGTTCAAAGGTTCACTTATGAAGCCAAATACACGTTTAGACCTTGAAACACAAGCCTATTAGCCCAAAAATTCGAATTTGATCAATTTGGGTTTCATGCATTTTCTCAAAATTTTCCAACTTGCACCAATCATAACTCTCTCAATTTGTATTATATGAAGGTGATCTTGGACTTTTTAGAAATCTCAAGATGTCCTCTACAATCTCTATGT